GGTTTAGGGTTGAGGGTTTTAGGGCTGAGTCTGATTGGCTTGGCAGCGAAAATTCAATCCCACAGAATCTCAGTCCCCCCCCACTCCTAAAGAACCCCACAACATTAAGAAAATACAAGAAACACACATTCCCACCCAGCAGTGAACTCCTGCCGACATACAAAACAGAATATGTCACAAGCAAGGGGGGAATATCATCATCCTAACACAAAGATGCAGCTCGTCATCGCGACGTAATCACCTTGTGAATATCAGCGGGAGTCGCAGCAAACATCTCTAGCTCAATCGTGTCAGCCTGTTGAACTACACCCATACACCAAGCTGCTACTTCACTTCATCGTCGCGACGATCATGCTTTGTTGTTGGTATCACACTTAAGCACGGCAAAACCTTTAGTTCCATAGCAGATGCAGTCATGCAGTTCAGTGAGACTGGAAGTTGCTGTGGTCTGTCTTAGGGTAGTACCTTCTGTCTCCATTGTAGTTCCTTTTCGGGGTTACCTGCTAGGATCCTATATATATCTATATATAAAAAGCTAGTTGAACCCAAAACACGGAAACTACAATGGAGAGTTTAGGTGTATTTCATTCCAGACAAGTCGCAGTGCAGTGGCTACAGTAACAGTGACCCAAAAAAACCCGGAAGTAGAGGGAACAGCAATGGCCATGCAAGGGCTACACCGAGCCGAGGTGAAACCGCGATAAGCCAAAACAGACCCTGAAAAGCTCGACACTGAAGCCCGAAAGCCTTGAGATCCTGAGAACCCCTAAACCCTGAACCCCAAACTCCAAAACCCCAAACCCTAAACCCCAAACCCCAAACCCTTAACCCTAAAACCCTAAACCCCAAACCCCAAACCCTGAACAAAGAAAGCCCTAAACCCCAGGGACATGCAACCCCAAGTCCTGGAAGACCCGAAGTCTCCAGCTTACTTGGGGGGGGCCCTTTAGAGCAAGAAGAGTGCAGTGGGGCCTTACTGATTAGAACAGGGTTTTCGGATTCCTTTTAAAGGGTTCCTTTAAGGGATACTATAGGGCTACTATAAGGGCTTTTATAAGGGCTTAGGGAAAAAAGGGGCCTCACTAATTAGAAAAGGGTTTTGGCCCTGTAGTTATGGTATAATTCTAATCAGGAACCCTTCAGGAATTATATTGGTAATTATTTTGGTTTCTATATCAGGGCGTCGAGGTATATTATCGCAGAACTAAGTCTAAGTACTGTTAAGGGAAGGTTGTTGCGAATACACTCCACAGCCCGAGGCCACTAAACTCAACCGTCACCAGCCTAAACCCTATAATAGGGCTGGCAAAGCTAAAGGAAGCTACAGGTGGGGCGTTTAGGGTATATAGGTTTCAAGAAGGCTTCTATAAGGTTGCTTAAACCTTCTATAAGGCTCCTATAACGGTAACTACCCACCCGAAAATGTCCTAGGAATGGGGGTAATGCCCTAAACCCTAAACCCTAAACCCTAAACCCTAAACCCTAAACCCTAAACCCTAACCTTAATTCCCGTAGTTCAGGGTGCTTAAGGTAATGCCCTAAACCCTAAACCCTATACCCTAACCTTAATTCCCCTAGTTTAGGGTCCTTTAGGTAATGCAGGATTTGGGTAATTCTCTAAATTAGGGTCTCTTTTTGGGTCCCCAATATAGTACGGCACCCTTATAAAAAGAACCCCAAAAAAGGGACCCTAATTTAGAGAACTACCCATTTCTATCATCCACCATAGGGCTGCCAAAGCGGCTGTGCCCAAGAGCCGAAAGGAGTCGGTCGGCGACGAACTCAATGTACTTCGTCATCAGATCCTGCGAGAGGCTTTCGGATTTGGGTTTAGGGGTTTAGG